ACGAGATCACGTCCGGTCGATAGTAGTTGATCTGAGTGACTGAGCAAGGGGCGTCACTGATGAGGGCTTACAAAGATGCCGACATATGGGCTTGTCCCTCTTGGGAAAGCTACCGTTCACGTGTACAACTCATGTCTTACTCATAGACAGTGGAAAGTTACAGGGGGTGAATCTGAATATAATATCAGATGTATTGACCCATTTATATAATATGTTCTGTTGATGAGACAGGGGCCCATTACAGGGTGGTAAAATATTACTTAATAGTTTCTTTTCAAAGAATTCCATATATAGGTTGCTTAATACAGGTGAGAGTGGATTACCCATTGCCATACCAAATTTTTTAGCATAATATTCTCCATTGAATTCAAATTTACAATCCTTAATACATAGTTTGATGAGTTCGATGAAGTCATCTTTCGAGACCGGCAATTAAATATTATTCAGGAAATCTATGAGGAACTCCATTAAATCATCAACTGGGACCTTTGTAAAGAGTGATGTTACATCAAAACTGACCAGTTTAAATTCATAATTAATTTGTAAGTTATTGAGTTTATCAACCAAATCCATATTATTCTTAATATTAGAGTTAGAAATGTTGCCAACTTCGGGATTTAGTAAAGAAACTAACATTATAGAATCTAGTCTCATTAAACATACCGAATCCGTCAACATGAATTTCAGTAATGGTATGTACAAACTGGATAATTTCGTAATTAAGAAGATTTGTAAATAGGTGAGAAGGTTGGGTCAGCTTACCCTCTGACTTCACTACCGACTGCTGCAGTGGTATTAACCTGACCATTGTGGACTTGATCTCACCCTCCTCTGTATATATATATATATATATATATATATATATATATATATATATATATATATATATATATATATATATATATATATATATATATATATATATATATATATATATACCTTGTTTTGTACTTTTCCTTATGTCTGTACCCCTGAAGATGTGAATTTCACGAAAGCGCTTGGGACTTCGTGTTTTCTTCTTTCCTGTGGTTATCGGCATATATATATATATATATATATATATATATATATATATATATATATATATATATATATATATATATATATATATATATATATATATATATATATATATATATATATATATATATATATAATTTTTATGTTAATATATCACTGTATCACTGAAATATATATACTGGACTGTAACATTTACCGTGAAGGTTTCTTACGCGTCCAATGAAAAAAATCGCAAACATGTTATTTCATCGATAATATTAAGTCACGTATGTTTGATCTAGATAGGAGGATATAACACTAGCTGTCAGAATTTCCTGAAGAACATTCCCCCCGAAACCCGTTGAACAAATTTCCGTTCTAGGAGATCGTACAATCTTCTTCTCAGAAGAAAATTGTCTTGTCCTTTATACCACATTCAATATCGGACAGATAAAACACAACCTTCGTTTGCAAATTTATTGGATTCCATGACACTAAAGTGAAAATACATTACAGAAAATGAATGGAGGAAAAGCATGTAAAGCAAATTGTTCACAAGTTGTAGTGAATGTACCAAACCTCTCTGGTATATGTATACACCCCTAAAAAATTATTCGGTACCTGTGTCATATTGTATCACGCCGTGAGGGTGCTGGATACTTTTTTAGTGGGTGTACATATTGTTGTGATACCTGGAGATCAATTACTGACTCTTAGTTTCCAGTCAAAGTAAATTTGGTAGCTTAAAAGAATTCCACCTGATTATAACACAGTGGTTGACACTATATTTTACCCTATGATAACAACAGGATGATCAAAGCATCGTCAATCATACACATCATTAATAATTAACATGAAAAACAACACTGATCTGGTTTCTATAACTGCTACCTAATGATTACCTTCCACATAACTAATTTGCGTCAGACAATAAAAAGTTACCCTTGGAAGGTAGAAAGGGGAATAATGACTCTCGAAAACATAATGACATACAGAAGTGGTTGTTAAAGTGTAGTGAGGCGTGATACAAAAGTCCTTGATAAATAAACAATCAGATATATATATATATATATATATATATATATATATATATATATATATATATATATATATATATATATATATATATCTGAAAGAAATATAACGTACTAGTAGAAATAAGAAGGGACAAGAGACGGTAATGTTACAGAGTGCAGTGCGGAATGAGATCATATTTTTGTTTAAATAGTGTGTGCTTAGAGTTGTTGAGTAGAGCGTCTACAGGTGTTACAGGCATTCTGATATACATGTACAATGAGTAACATTGGGTGGTTGGGGTATTGTCTCGAAAATTTATTCAGATAAATCGTATATTTTCAAAACAATCTGGTTAAACTTCTCTTCTCAATGGAAATTGTAAAATGTCTCTTTATGGTAATGGCCTCAAGATACTCGAAAATAACTTCTAAGATGCACTGAAATTGTTTGGTAACTACAGTATACTCTTACATTATTATTGGAAAGAAAACATTTAACAAACTAAGTGTTAGAGATTTGAGAACTAACTAAGGTTTGAGATAAATACACAAAAAAAAGCTAAATCAAGAAGCCTCATGTCTTATGATTCTTATTATTTTGAAGACGAACTTTCAGGAGCTCAAGATAGAGTACAGACACACTGACAACGTGTCCAGCAGCGAGGATCACGAACATTCCCTGTAGTATGAGAAGATGGCTCCATTAGTAACCAAGAGGCGCAATATAAATACTGTACAATTTGAATCACATTTATGTTTATTTTTCAGGGATTATCTATGGCTAAGGAAGAGGGTTATCATTAGCAGTATAGTTGCAGTCCGGCCCCCAAGCTGTCTCCAGATGCTGAGGTGGGAGGTGCTCAGCGGCTGCTCCGTTTGTTTAATTTTGTATGTGTTTGGTTGCATTTCCGGGTAGTATCTCAGGCAATTTTTACGTTACGAACCTGAAATTTATTTATTAATTTCTGTATTCTTTGTGTTTGACTCATAATTTGTTTATTGCGTGGCATAGGGGGCGGTGTAGTGTCGCCCACACTTCCACCTGGTACCGTCAGCGTAAACCCAGAGAGTATTGAAACATTATTCCGAAGTGCTCACGAGTGAGAGGGAGAAAGGGTCAGGGGGAAGACAGGAAACGGTGTGGAAATGGGAGGGGGGGGGAGGGTACAGGGGTTTAGGAGAGTTATAGTTAAGTGGGTAAGAGGGGTGGGAGAGTGCTTCCTCCAGCTATTGCACAATATTTAATAGGAAAAGACAGGACAAAACAAATATTTATAGTAGAATGTGTTACTACATATTAAAGAAGTATTCCAAGCTCACTCAATTCGAAACAGTAATTCAGGTGATGATTTCACGCACATATGGATGCCTAATGTTATCAATATAAGTTGAAATTTCTTAGGTCTGACCCTTGCAAAAGCTTCCTGTTGTCACAAAAACACTGTGTGCAAAGTTTCACATATAAATAATATTTAATGATTGAGCAATGAATTACAAATTTCATCCCTATAACACTGCTGTGAGTTATCACTTCAGTATGACCACCAGTTGCTTAACATTCCAAAACTTCCATCAGGCCCCGGTGATGCTCAAGTAAATGATATTTTTGAGACTCTGGAACAGTGGGGAGTTGAAAACAGAGTTGGCGGAATGTGCTTCGACACTGCAAGCACCAATTCTGGCAGCAAAAGTGGATCTTTGTGATTTTAGTGCAGTTGCTTGATCGAGTAGTTGGTGCTACTTTCAATGAAGTAATGGGTATTTCCTCTTCCCCAAAAATCCTTGTTTTCAAATGGTTCCAATCCCATTGGATGAACTTCGACCAAGAACGCTTTGAAGACTTTCAACAGTCCAGCAGGACACTGTAGCCGTTCCTGACGTCAAGGAACATGTGTTGAAGTATGCACATAATACACTGATTGATGAACATCCTTGACATGATTACATGGAACTTTTGGAGCTCACATTCCTGTTTCTAGGGTCTGCACCTGCTTGTGGCAAACTATTTGCTACTCCTGGGGTAATGCACTGTGCCCGATTGATGACAAAGGTCATTTACACTTTCAAAGTTTGGATGTTACGATCGTAGTTCAAACTTTCCAAACTGGAGGAGACAGCACTTCACAATCTTTGCATCTTATTTGCATTTATGTAAGGGCCTGGATAATAGCTCCACTTATTGCAAAAGCCTCACAAAGCGATCTTAATCTGCTCAAGGTTCTTGTCGAGTACAAAAAGGTCCACGTAAGGTTCTCAAAAGCAACTTCTAAATTGATGGCTCGCCATGTGTGGTTTTTGTCAGAAGAATTGGTGAGCCTCTCTTTCTTTGATGATTATGTGACCCCAGACATGAAAGATAAAATGGTGAAGTTCATAAAAAAGATTGAAGGAAAATAGACACCTCCAAAAACAAGCCACTTTTGATTTAAATACTAAAAAAGACAAGACGCTGGCTCACTTTACGAGAAAAAAACACTCAGCTATTCTTTGAATTTTTTTTATTCCACAAGGCCTTCTAGAACTCCCAGCATCTCCATAGGACAGTTAAGAGTGTTACATACTACTACTACTTTGCTGTCACTCGGAATTGAGTATGACGATCATTCAGCTATGGCAAAATGATATGGGTTATTTGGGATGTTACCTAGGTTAGTGAGTTTTGAGGTGACTAAAGAGCCCGATACGGGACCGGCAGCGTCGTCCACATTCGTTGCATATGTGGAGGGCTCCATGTACTGTGGGAGGGGCGGTGGCAGCGTCTTTCCGACGTTGGCGCTTATTTGACTCGGTTTGTAGTCGGGCCACCTCGAAAGTATTGTCACCTTCCCGTGCAGTGATCCTCCAAGCGTTAGGATATGGAGTAATCGACTCCCTACAAGCAAAAGAACCGCAAAAACATTGGCTGTCACGATTGACAATACTGAGCGTGGTGTAGGTCTTCAACAAGAGTACTCCGGCCATATAACAAAGAATGAAGAGCAGCTGCAGTACCTGTTGCAAGTCGTTGCTGACCACAGAAAGCAATTTTCTAAAGCCATAAAGAGATCGTTAACTGGGCAACATTTAGCGGCTGATCACCGTAATAACAAATGTAAAGTACTCAGTATAGGAGATGTAAACAGGGAAACCAGATACCAGATGAACAACAATGTTATTGAGAAATCCGACTGCGAGAGAGATTTAGGAGCAATGATAAGTAGGAATCTTAGGCCAAGTAAACTATGTGTATTTGCTCGAAACAAAGCTGATAAAGTACTTAGGCTCATACAAAGGAGTGGTAGTTACAAGACTAGCGAGGTCATCTTAAGACTATATCTTGCGCTTGTGAGACCTCACTTGGATTACGCAGTTCAATTCTGGTCACCGTATTACAGAATGGATATAGAATCCTTGGAAAGAATACAGAGGAGAATGACAAGACTAGTCCCGGGTATTAGGAACCTTTAGTACAGAGACAGATTAAAGCATCTTAATTTGCACTCCCTCGAGAGACGTAGAATGAGGGGCGACATGATCGAAGTGTATAAATGGAAGTCAGGGCTGAACAAAGGGGACATTACAAAGGTACTCAAACCAGGAGCGAACTCGTAACAATGGTTTTAAATTAGACAAATATAGATTTAGGCGCGAAATAGGTAAACAATGATTTGGAAATAGAGCAGTGGACGACTGGAACAAGTTACCAAATATCATCATTAACTCGACAGAACTGCTGACGTTATCTTGAAACTTTACCTAGCATTAGTGAGGCCACACATGGATTATGCGGTTCAATTCTGGTGTCCTTATTATAGAATGGACATAGATTCTTTGGAGAGAGTACAAAGAAGAATGACAAAAATGATCCATAATATTAGAAACCTTCCATATGAAGAAAGACGGAAAAGCTTAGGCTTGCATTCATTAGAGAGGCGTAGAGTTAGGGGAGATATGATAGAGGTGTTCAAGTGGGTAAGTGGGATTAACAAGGGTAAAATGGAAGATGTTCTGAAGCTCAGTAATAACGAAATAACTAGAACAAATGGCTTTAAATTAGATAAATTCCGATTCAGAAAGGATATAGGCAAGCACTGGTTTGGTAATAGAGTTGTGGATATGTGGAATAGGCTACCGAGTGCTATAGTAGGATCGGGGACGAAGTTGGATAGGCACATGGAAGTGCTGGGATGGGTGTGAAAGGGATCTGCCCTGTATGGGCCAGTCGGCCTCCTGCAGTATCCCACTGTCTTATGTTCTTATGTTAATAGGGGTTGAGTGTAAATGGGACTGCCCAGTATGGGCCTATAGGCCCACTGCAGTTTCCTCCATTCTTATGTTCTTATGTTCTTACCCTCATTTGTGTGGAGAGAAGTCCCAGGTTAAGGGCTGGGACCTTAAGTGATGACTCATAGCAGTGTTAAAGGGGTGAATTTCCAAATCATTGCATAACCATTAAATATAAATACATTTTAATTAATCTTTGCACACATTGGTTTATGTTTTTGTGACAAATAGAATCTTTTGTAAGAGTTAGTGATTAATATTTCTAAAATTTTATTTTTTCCCTTTATACTGTATACTGTAAGACCACGGAAAACTGTGAAGGCAAGCTTTTTTGGAGTAAGAATTGTGAACTTCTGGAACAACCTGCACAAGAGTTATGTAACGGCACCGAGTAAGAGCTACTGTTTCAAGATCAGACTTGACCAACACTGGAGCAGATTAAGATACATTCAGGAGTCGGTGCATGCCGACGGAAAGCGAGCCGATCAGTAGCGATGAGGAAGAGAGTAAAAGTATATATATATATATATATATATATATATATATATATATATATATATATATATATATATATATATATATATATATATATATATATATATATATATATATATATATATATATATATATATTTAGATATGTGGATCACCTGAAGAATTGTCACCCCAGAGTTTGGTAGGGTGACAATTATTCTTCAGGTGGGATATCCTGGGGTGGCGATTCTTCAGGTGGCAACACCTGGGGTGAGAATTCTTCAGGTGGGGTCAGGACCCTCCATGGGTGTTAATCTTCAGGTGAGTGGAGTCAGGACCCTCCAGTCAGGTAGGAGGACTATATAATAATAAGTGGGCTCAAAAATGTTTAGTCATAATCATCAGTCGACCATGGCACGCAATACCTTCCAAACTGTCGTCCTACCACTGTTGTGTGATGATTCCTCTAAAGTTATTCGGTGGCTTCAACAAAACAGACTTTTAAATCTTAAAGTGAAATGTGATACTTGTGTTAACTGGATGAATTGGACAAAATACTCCAGATCGAAGGATGATTTTCTGTGGAAATGCTAAACAAAAGACTGCCTGAAGTATCAATCCACTAAGTCTATAAGAATAGGATCTTTTTTGCCCGTTCTAATATTTCACTTCAGAAGTGGGTTTATGTTATGTATCTTTGGAGTGAGCGTATTGGAGAAACAGCATCAGGCCGTCAGGTGAACCTTTCTGAGAAAACGATGATTGACTGCGACAGCTTTTTAGGGAGGTTTGTACTGTGTACTTTGAAGCAAATCCAATCAAACTTGGCGGACCTAGGATCACCGTAGAAATTGATGAATCTTGCTTCTCCCATAAGCCGAAACATCATCGTGGACGTGCACCACACTCTCCTATTTGTAATAAACATCATGTACTGTATTTTGGAATACTGAGTAAAGAATTTTGTATTTCGTTTTGTAATTTGGAACACGGTGTATATTATTCTTATTTTTTTTTCTTTAAACTTTTCACAATAAAGATGCATAACACAAAGGAATATATTTATGTTCACCTAATTATACAAATTATATTCACTGTGGGCTGGGGTGAAGATTCTTCAGGTGGAGCAGGCTTGGGTGACGATTCTTCAGGTGATCCATATTGTATAATATGGACACGAAGTAGTACCTTAAGCTGTGTATTCTTATATTACTCTATTAATTATGTATATGCTGATAACCACAAGGAAAGAAGAAAACACGAAGTTCCCAAGCGCTTTCGTGTTTTCTTCTTTTCTTGTGGTTATCAGCATATACCTAGATCACGCGCACCTACAGTGATTTACTTGTATAATTATGTATAGTAAGGTATTACAGAACATGTATTAATCCTATGTAATATTTCCATTTATTATGCTCCATGTTATGTATGTGAATTATCATATTTACATATTATGTATTCAGCTTGTGAATGCTGGCACCTGTACATGCCAGCGCGGAGTGATACAGAGAGTTGAGATTGCTGGTCCTTATGGTGTGGAAGCCCTCTGTCTATTGTTCCCTCTGTATATCTCCCGTACGAAAATAAGAACCTATTTTCAAGATAACACGTGTTTGTGTATACCCTCAATAGTGTAGAACATTTTGGGGGTATCAAAGACAAACATAGATGGCGCAGTGAGATTTCTCAGTGAGATTCAGAATGAATTCAGCCCTCCCACCGGACTGTGTTAATGGCGTCTCGTCTTTAGCTTCGCCAAGGATTTACAGCTAGCCTACAAGCCTCAGGACTTACAGTGTTGTGAAGTGCTATGCTGTGTACAGTGCTGTGCTGTGCTGTGTATTTTAATCAGAATTGTCTGTGCAAGCTGCAGTCAGATGACTGAGGGAGCGGCCCAGCAGTACATCCCCTCCCCCCTACGGTCATTAGGTAACTGAGCAGCGCGCATAATTCAGTTGTGACTTGAGCCCTGCTGCCTCTACGCCTGGCAGCGCGCCAAGCCTCCCGGCAACGAGCCATACACACACACACACACGCACTCACAGGCCCAATTTATATTAAATTCTTGTGTATTACTTTAGACTTCTGTAATTCTGTGCATAGATTACGAGGGGTTGACCCGGTCTCTTGCACAGATAGAGTACAGAAGCTGTCGGCATGTCTCACAGGGATCAAAATGATACCCTGGACGATCGGGTTATGAGTTTAAGTTTGGGAGACCTCTCCCCATCCACACTCAGGCCCCACGCTCCCCACAGTGACAACGCCCAATCACCCACAGAATCTCCTCATTCGTCGCGAGCAAGCTCTCCTGCGGTGCCTGCGTCCACAGATCTCCTTCAACTGATTAAGTGGATGGAAACTTCTCGACGCCAGGACTATGTTGCAAGGAGAGAAGAGGAAGAAATTCGGTACAGAGAGTCTGAAAGACGACGCCACGAAGATGAACAAAGATGCAGAGAACTAGAAGATATACGTAGAAGTGAGGATGACCTGAGAAGAAGAGAGGATCAAGCCAGATTTGAAGTCTTGATTTCCCTGTTAGCCTCCCCACAACGATCTACTGTACAATATTCTTCTGCTACTACTAATGCTGATACGACTAGAGGTACTGGTACCTCATTTCCCAGAGTCATATTTACATATTATGTATTCAGCTTGTGAATGCTGGCACCTGTACATGCCAGCGCGGAGTGATACAGAGAGTTGAGATCGCTGGTCCTTATGGTGTGGAAGCCCTCTGTATATCTCCCGTACGAGAATAAGAACCTGTTTTCAAGATAACAAGTGTTTGTGTATACCCTCAGTAGTGTAGAACATTTTGGGGGTATCAAAGACAAACATAGACATATAGGATGTAGGATATATGATTAGTGGGTCTCATATATTTTACCTGACGTGACATGATTAGTTATGTCGCCCGTTCTTATAATCACTTCTTATGTTTGCTGTGGTTGGTGTGTGGATTAGTGGATGTCATGTTTTTTGACCTGACCATATGTTTTGTAAGGTCACCCTGTATACACAAGCTCTCCCTCAGTCTTTGTAATTCAGTTGCCTCTGAAGATGTCTTGAATAAAGATTAAAGCTAAGGTGCTCCATTGTTTCCCTTTTCCCTGTGTGATTTTATGAAGATTCATCATATCCATGTTTCCATTGTGGATCTAATTATATATATATATATATATATATATATATATATACCTGTATGCTGATAACCTAGGGAAAGAAAAACACGAAGTTCCAAGCACTTTCTATATAATTCACATCTTCAGGGTGAAGGTACAGACTATGTGAATGTGAATTACACACCGAAAGCGCTTAAGGAACTTCGTGTTTTCACTTCTTTCGCCCAGCCAGTTTATCAGCATATACCTAGATCACGCACACCTACATTGATTTACATATATATATATATATATATATATATATATATATATATATATATATATATATATATATATATATATATATATAACGACAAGGAAAAGAAAGAAAGAAAACACGAAGTTAACTGAACTATGTGAATGTGAATTACACGAAAGCGCTTGGGAACTTCCTGTTTTCTTCTTTCCTTGTGGTTATCAGCATATACCTAGATCACGCGCACCTACAGTGATTTACTTGCATATATATATATATAATCAACGACCTCACCAGCAAGGAATCGAACCCTTGACCTACTGGGTGGGACTAGGGGACGTTTACCGGCTAGGCCACAAGGACACTAAAAGCAGTTCTAGACTCTGTTATATTTCACACAAAGCCTGTTCATCGAGCTGATGGCGCCGTGAACCTCATTGGGAAACTGGCCGTGCCTCTTATGTCGTGTCAGTAGCATTTTACCGAATCCAGCTGGTATGAAACGCGAGGTATATATATATACTTCATTTTAGTGGTTTTCCTAGCAGTTCACTTTCGACATAAACTGGCACTGGTTTGAGCTGACTGGGAGTCAAAATATCATTAGGATACAACCCAAATGCGTAATTTATCCTGGATTATAAGAACATCGAACTAATTGTTAAGGAAAATATATTCAGTGTGAAGGCAACCAATAACAAATTTACAAACATTTTGTATTCAGCCAATCACGAGTAAATCAGGGCGTTTTAGTGGCCTGACTTGTGTGACCAGGCATTGGAATTTCGCACCGGACCATCCCTCCTCCTCAGACATCATATAGGGAGAGGATTGCTAACTTTAACTGTGCCTGTGAACTTTGGACTGCTGTACATTGTAAGTAGCCCTGCTTGTTCTGAGAGCATTCAAAAGATAACTTACCCATATATTAATAAGAGAGAGAGTTGTCTTGACAGTGACCTTGGTAGGAACGCGGTGACACACAGTGGAGTTTGGCTCTTCAGTTTTAATCCAGTGAAAAACTAACCCAGCTTCCGTTATTGACATTATTCTGTTGGGCGAAATATGTAAATGTCAAAAGCAGCTGAACTTCCTTTACTGATAAAATTAGTAAGGCTGAGCAATTATACATCTTCTTTACTGCACATTAGATATTTTTAATAACTACAAAAATACTAATAATAAAAACAGTAACAATAATACCGTAATAATAATAATAATAATTGTCGCTATTATATATAACTTCTCTTTAGTTTATATAGTAATACAACTAGAAATATTCAGTCATGTTATGAAAAAATGCCAGACAAGATGCAAACAGTAAATCAACAACAACCAGGCATTGGTGGTACCTTTTACTTAACGCTGGCACCAGTGGACTGCCCTTTGAGCCAACCATAGCAAGTATTAGAGGCAGGAATTCTTCTCTGGACTCATAGAATGAGCATTCTCCTGTAAGAGTATATATATATATATATATATATATATATATATATATATATATATATATATATATATATATATATATATATATATATATATATATATATATATATATATATATATATATATATATATATATATATATATATATATATATATATATATATATATATATATATATATATATATATATATACACACACACTGTAGAAACATGCTTAACTACAATCACAGGATGCCACCTCCGGAGGCTCCACATTGTCTCACTGCAATACATTACGGTAGACCACATTTTTGGTTTTGCCATTAGCAGCAAGTATGTACAGATTGCAGTTCCCACTCTGGAGCATCCAACATGGAACTGCCCACGAGAGAAGCAAGGAAACACCGGTTTAGGCCAACCATCTTTAGGGACTGTCCCTGGCTTTTGTAGATGGTCATGGCAAAGCTCACTTTAACCGGGAACTGAAGTCGCTTGAACTCAAATGGCAGGTCAGTGGTGATGAGAGGTATCCTTGGTATAAAAACGTCCTCTCCTTTAGCTTTTCCTGTCAGTATTGTAGCTTCCAGTAGATGTAGCATCATGTTCTTCACCACCAGTCTTGTGCCATTGCAGAGCATTGGTGGTTCAAGATTTCTTAATAGCATTATAGGAGTTCCAATCTTGAGAGTGAGGTGGTGAGGAGGCATTCCAGCGGGTTCCAAAGAATTAAGAAATTCTGCAGGGTACTGGACTGCTTGGCTCTGGTCGATTACTGTAACAACAGATTTGAATGAGGTCTCACTGCCTGGAAGCTGTCTGAGTAGAGTCATGTTGATTTCAGCCACTGTTTCATTCTTTGGTGCCAGAATTGCGCGTTCACGCAGCCACTTGTGATCCTTGTAGTGGTGGATAATGTTTGGGTAGACCATGTTAGTGAGCTCAGTTGAGGACTTTACAACATTTCCACATCCTTGAGGAATGATTATTTGTCCTTCTGAATCAACAGGGAAAGTTCCATTCCCAATCTGTAGTAGAAGGTTTGCAAACCGTCCAGCATCCTGATCTCCTTGTAGATGTACTCTCATGTTTGTGGATAGGGTGAGTGTCTGAACACTTCTCCAAAGGTATGATGCCTTGAGGCACGCATTCAGTTCATCAGCTGGAGTGCTTCGAGGAATGACAGGTAGGGTCTGGCGAAAGTCTCCAGCAATGACCATTGTAATGCCACCCATGATCTGGTCATTTTCTCGTATGTCTTGCAAGGTCCTGTCCAATGCTTCAAACGCTAACTTGTGAGACATAGTGCATTCATCCCAGACTATGAGGCTGCATTTTTCTAAGAGTTTTGCCTTTGCCGATCCTTTTTTGATGTTGCACACTGGATTCTCATTGTGAGCGAGGTTGAGAGGCAGTTTAAAAGTTGAGTGTGCAGTACGTCCTCCTTCTAGTAGTGTTGCAGCAATGCCTGAGGATGCCACAGCAAGAGCAATTTTCCCCTGATAACGTACTTTGGCCAACAGAAGGTTGATCAGGAATGTTGTTCCTGTCCCGCCAGGTGCATCAAAAAAGATCATACCTCCCTGCTCCGCTTGTATCGCTTGCAAGATCTGTTCATAAGCATTTGCTTGATCAGGCACCAGGTGAGGCGCATTTTCTTCAAGAAAATTCACCAGAACTTCAACTGAGTAGTCTGTCTCTCTGAGCAACTCCCTGTTTGTAGCTACTGGTTCTTCTCGGTTTGGGGAAGGCAATCCAAAATCAGTCAGATATTTTCCGCATAACTCCATCACTTTGTCTTCTAGCATGATCAGAGCCCTGTTGAACATGGCATCCATGAACTCAATCTCTTGACCAGGATATTCTCTTCTTGCTTGATGAAGCAGATCCTCCGAAAGAATATCTTGGTGGTTTTTCCAGAGCTGGCTTGGGTTGGAAAGTCCACATGTAGCAATCATGATGGCAAACATCCCATCCTCATAGCCTGGGATGAATTCACTATGTCTCACAAGTTAGCGTTTGAAGCATTGGACAGGACCTTGCAAGACATACGAGAAAATGACCAGCTCCTGGGTGGCATTACAATGGTCATTGCTGGAGAATTTCGCCAGCCCTACCTGTCATTCCTCGAAGCACTCCAGCTGATGAACTGAATGCGTGCCTCAAGGCATCATACCTTTGGAGAAGTGTTCAGACACTTACCCTATCCACAAACATGAGAGTACATCTACAAGGAGATCAGGATGCTGTACGGTTTGCAAACCTTCTATTACAGATTGAGAATGGAACTTTCCCTGTTCATTCAGAAGGACAAATAATCATTCCTCAAGGACGTGGAAATGTTGTAAAGTCCTCATCTGAGCTCACTAACATGGTCTACCCAAACATTATTCACCACTACAAGGATCACAAGTGGCTCCGTGAACGCGCAATTCTGGCACCAAAGAATGAAACAGTGGCTGAAATCAACGTGACTCTACTCAGACAGCTTCCAGGCAGTGAGACCTCCTTCAAATCTGTTGATACAGTAATCGACCTGGACAAAGCAGTCCAGTACCCTGCAGAATTCCTTAATTCTTTGCAGCCCGCTGGAATGCCTCTTCACCACCTCACTTTCAAGATTGGAACTCCTATAATGCTCTTAAGAAATCTTGAACCACCATGGCTATGCAATGGCACAAGACTTGTGGTGAAGAACATGATGCCACATGTACTGGAAGCTACAATACTGACAGGAAAAGCTAAAGGAGAGGACGTTTTTATACCAAGGATACCTTTCACCACCACTGACCTGCCATTTGAGTTGAAACGACTTCAGTTCCCGGTTAAAGTAAGCTTTGCCATGACCATCTACAAAAGCCAGGGACAGTCCCTAAAGATGGTTTTCTTAATCCTGGTGATTTCCTTGCTTCTCTCATGGACAGTTCTATATTGGATGCTCTGGAGTGGGAACTGGCAAAAATCTGTACATACTTGCTGCAAATGGCAAAACCAGAAATGTGGTCTACCTTAATGCACTACAGTGAGACAATGTGGAGCCTTCCGGAGGGTGGCGTCCTCCCGTGGCTTAGCGAAAGAGCCGCCCGGAGGGCGGCGATTAAGCTAGTGTGTATATATATATATATATATATATATATATATATATATATATATATATATATATATATATATATATATATATATATATATATATATATATATATATATTATATATATATATATATATATATATATATATATATATATATATATATATATATATATAATTATATATATCTTGATAAAATCACACGGGAAAAGGGAAGCAACGGAGCACCTTAGCTTTCGTCTTTATTCAAGACATCTTCAGAAGCAACAGGATTACATGGACAGAGAGAGGCTATAATATACAGGGTGACGTTATTTAACATGAGGTCAGGTCATAATGATGTCATCCATTAATCCCCACACCAACACCAACACACACGTAGAGGAGCTTAAGAGAAGGGGGCAACGTGACTGGTCAGGTCACGTCAAAAATAAGGGACCCACTAAATAACTATCATACATCTACAGGGTAGATCAAGATTTATCTTATCCACAAGCTTATTGTAGATCTACATGAAATATATATATATATATATATATATATATATATATATATATATATATATATGTATATATATATGTTGTCTATATATTCATATATATATATATATATATATATATATATATATATATATATATATATATATATAAGCAGATATATATATATTTATATTTATATATATATAGATATAAATATATATATATATATATAGATATATATATATATATATATATATATATATATATATATATATATATATATATATATATATATATATATATATTTCATTAACCCAATAAAGCACGCGGACTTCTACATATAATCAACACCTCACCCCGCTAGGATTCGAACCCACGGCCCACGACTGTGACCGGGGAATGCTACCTCTGGACCACGAGGATACTGGTGGTCCAGAGGGGTCGAATCCTGGCTGGTGAGGTCATTGATTATATGTTCAAAGTCCGCGTGTTATATGGACTAAAATGAAGTATATATATGGTACCTCGTGTTTTGTACTAGCTGGATTCGGTAAAATGCTACTGACACCACAAATGAGGTACGGGCAGTTCCCAATGAGGTTCACGGCGCCATCAATTTGATGAACAGGCTTTGTGTGAAATATAACAGAGCCTAGGACTGCTTTTAGTGTCCTTGTGGGTTGGTCTTTAGCATTCCCTAGTCCCACCCAGTAGGTCGAGGGTTCGAATCCTGGCTGGTGAGGTCGTTGATTATATATATATATATATATATATATATATATATATATATATATATATATATATATATATATATATATATATATATATATATATATGTATATGAATGGCCGTACTGAAATTACCTATCATGGTGCAATGGCGATTCGTTACAACGTTTGGAACGCAGCTAACAGAAGAGACCTGTATGCATGAACGAAGCAATTTGAGAAGACTGGCAATGTTCTATAAAGCATGATAGAGGAAATTCCAGGACATCAGTGGAAAATGTAGAACGCATATAAGCTGCTTTCCATAGCAGCACAAGGAAGTCCATCCGCCATTCCAGTACCGAACGGCAAGTTACATGTTAAAATGTGCATAAAGTCGTGCACATAGTTGAAAATATTATACAAAAATGTCTTTGTCCGTGATACGAATGGTGCACATGTTGAATGTCTACACTAACATACCCTAATGTTATTTAGCCATACATGAAATAACTCAAGCTGTGTGATTCAATAAAAATGTAAAAATCTTCAAAGTTTTTCCCTATCAAAGTGGACAAGTTGTATATGGGTTACTATTTATAGTAGAAAGTATTTAGGGCAGCACGAAATTGTGAGGCCCCACATAAAAGGGATTGGCTGCCATGTTTGCCTAACCATTCATATCTGCAGATATTCTTGTATAGACTTTGGATAGAAATCGCTAGATGAAGGGCTATTCCTGCATGGAGGGCCTA